AATTTTGATGTCACCGACTGGGTTGGGGTCTTGTCCAGTGTTGATTGAAGTTGTCTGTAGAATTCCTCCTTCTTCTCTTCATCGGCATTATTTGTAGGTGAGTAGCATTGTATGATCGTGACTTTCCTTCCTTTTGAGTTGAACCTTGTTGTCATGATCCTGATCCTGGAGGAGATTGGTTCCCATTGCATGAGGGCCTTCGATGCTCTTGGTGACATCATGATAGCCACTCCAAAACTCAGTGTGCTCGTGGTTGTCATCTGGATGACAATATAGGGGTAGATTATTGACTCCTCTCCAGTAGACAGTTTGAAGAGTCCATTCCCAATCCATCTGCTTTCGCGAATTCCAAGCACTTCAGTGTGATACCTTCTCATCTCCTTTGCAATCTGGGCAGCCTTGGTAGGTTCAAACATGGTGCGGACATTCCATGTCCCAAGTTTACTTTCGCTTTCACTGAGAGAAGGGAAGACACATCGGCTAATTGGCTTCCCGAAGGCTTTCACCAACCGGCGTCATTTCGCCTCTCCGGTTCCAGGTAGGAACAATATTATTTTTATTTTTATAGTTTGTTTGTGCTTCGAAGTTTCTTCAGCAGTTAAATTGGTTTTACGAGGTAGGGTCGGTAGCCCTACGCCCAACCTTCCCTCTTTATCCGGGCTTAGGACCGTCTAGTAACTAGTGTACTAGTTAACCAGGCGAGGTTGAATAAACTATAGGGATGTTTAAATTATAAATCTGTTCACTTACGTGATACTGCGTTCCAATATACAGAATCGTTGGCTCTGCCTGCTAATTTTCGAGAACTATCAGCTGCATGATATGTACAGATGTGAACCTATGGTAAGCTTTGATAACTTCCTTTGTAACTTATAGTTTAATAAAAAATGTTTATTCTCGCATGAACAAAAGACATTTATCAAGACATGAAAAAAAACAAGTAGATGTTAGTTGGTTGGAGGCAGTCGGCAGGAAGCCCTGGACCTAGGTTTCGTGCTTGTTGGCACTCGTCAATAAGGCGTATCTGCACCCTCGACGGAAATTATGTCCCCCCTGAGATTCCAACCCGCGTTACACAGCGTTGTAGTCAGCGACTTTACCACTGAGCTATTCGGGTCGTGATTGACTTCCTGTAGAACTGGGTTACATGCATTGATTGGTCATGGGAGAGCAACGAGTATGATGTTGTCTAGTCCTGAGTGCAAATCAAATCCTACCCTATGATCGATAGGATAATTCTCAACAATAAGAGTATAGCGAGTATAACACAAGACATTCAGACGGAAAATATATACCTAGAACCTCGAACACAAGTGAGTCAGTTTAAGTTGCAATACTTCACAGTAGTATACAAAAAAAGTGTATAGAATAAGAGTGACTCCAAAGTAGACAGAGTTGTCTGAGAGAATAAGCAATTTGAAGATAATGGTTAGCGTAAATATTGTCTTTGGAAGACATCAAAGAATGAATACATCTACACTACTGTGACCAGTTTCCATCTATTTCACCAAGTCTTCAACCACTGATTCCTGTCGTCTTGGAGACCCCAACTAAGCAGGTAATCTATATTTCCTCACACAGCTCAGACCAAGATTCACAGACTTCACGAATTTGTCCAATGTCTTACGTTGGTCACCGTAAACACTCTTCCAACTTTATCCAACCTCCACCAGCATTTCATGGTATGGCAGTGTCCCGTCATATGCAGTGCACGTTCAAGCTACCTCAGTCGACGAAGGTTCAAAAGCTCAAAGGCTGAATTGACTAGTATCCCCCACCTGACCTCCACACTGCTCACACTGGGATCCCACCAGACGCGACCAATGCTTCGAAGACTTGCAACCGCCTCATATCTTCTATTTTCAACGGCCATGTCACAGCCGTATAATGGTACAGAACGGATTGTAGAGGAGTAAACTTGTCTTTAATTGTAGTGGGATATCTCAGGAGTCGGTACTACAGATGACACCAGTTGGTAAACCACAAACCGGCCTTCTGTATCCAAGTTCAGATTACCTCAGCAACCACATTCTACTGGCTGATGCGATTCCACAAGTAAGTGAAGTCGTCGATGTATTCAACCACTTCATTACCTATCTTTGAACCAGGAATAGTTGCAGCAGATCAGTGCTGGAGTGTCATATCACACTTGACAGGTGGAAAACGACTGGCAGTCAAACATGCATATCTGCTCAGCAAATTCAGATGACCCTACATTTTGTTTACACCAAGCAGGACATTATAATCTGCATACGCTAAGTCAAAAACATGACCTTACGGGAGAAGCACAATCCTCGTAAAGTCACATATACCAAATGTTCCGTCCATTAGTACGTACATAACCAAGTTAAACAGAAACGATGACAGTTCGCGTCTATGGTAGAGACCACTAGTGGTCTATATAAGCCCTTGCATGACTGCGTGTTATTCACTAACTTGGTACTCCTTTCACAGTCAGGCATTACTACAACACCTCACAGTAGACACAGTCAACTGCCGCCTTCAGGCTAGAAAATATAAGAAGCATCGATCACCGGTAAGTGTGCTTGTATTCCATAACCTGACAGAGGATTAAGATTTGATCGATGCATCCAAATCTACATCTGAAACCTGTCTGGTTTCCCACACCTCCATTTCGGTGTCGAATAACTATGGACGCTAGGATCCCAGACACGATACTAGTCAGACTAACTCCCCTGTGGTTATTGCAGAAGGACTTCTCCACCTTCTTTCGGAGGAGAATGATCAGTGAAGTAGACCAGTCTGACGGCACTACCTCTGATTTCCATACACTACTCAGTACCTCCGTCACTCTGATTAACAATTTCCTACCTCCATCCCTAAGGACTTCAGTTGGCAAACCCTCAGAACCTGCTGGTTTGCATTGTTTTGGGTTCGAAACAGCTCCCTCAACTTCAAGAAGAGTTGGAGGATCGACAACGATGTCCGATTCTTGTTGGAGTTAGCTGGGTGCTGGACAACTGAAGCGTTGCTGAGGCCCAGTTGAACTGCCCTTCAAACTGTTCTGCTCAACGTTCTGGTCGTCTGTCTTGGCAGGTTATCACCGTCCCATCGTTTTCGGTGATGGCTTCACTAACTATCGTCTTCTTCTTGTTGGTATCCTTAATAAGTCTAAATGGTGCCTCCTCCATCTATCTCGCTCTCCCCACCCACCCATCACTGCTCGCGATCGGCGCGAAGACTTTGGTCAACTTACGTTTGAGTTACTTTCGCTCCTCATCATGGTCAGAGTCAGGTGGAATCAGTCTTCTCGCATCAATCAGTTTGGATGATGTTTTGGAAATCCAACGACGTTTGCCAACCTTCGAATGTAGGTCACCAACTGTCTTTAACGTTGTTTCTACAGCAGACTTGATATGACGCCAGGTTTCCTCAAGATAAGCATTACTGTCATGTTTAGGTAGATGCTTCACTACCTCCTCCCTTAATGCACACCTGACGTTCTCATCTTCCAATCGATCATAGATGAGCTTGACTATCGCCTTTTTCTTGCGACCACTAAGGTTCAAGCATATACGTACCAGTTCTAACACGTGTTCGGAGTCCAAACACGTAATTCAGAAAGGACGAGAATCCCCCAAAGATGGCTTATAGCAATATGATTTAGTTGTGTCCATCGTTGATTTCATGTTGGCAGAAGCCATTTCAAGGAGCATCTCCCCTTATGTTCCAAGTTGCTTCTGGTCAGAAACAAGTGGTAGTTGGAGAAGAATTGCAACAGATGGTCAGCGTTCCCGGCTTGTTGGCACGGAATCCCGTAAATACTTCCGACATAACTTTCAGATACGCTGAGCTTCCCTGCTCGAGTGTTGAAGTTACCTGCTTCTATAACGATATCTGAACGTTTTGTTTTCTGTAGCAAAACTGACAGCTTCTCATAGAATTCATCCTTTGCACCATCCGAACTGCAGTTTGTGTGCACATAGGCGATGACGAATAGGCATAGATTAGTCTTAAGATCATTCCTAGTCCTTACAGATCCTTTCAGCGGAACAGCACATAGCTGTTCACTGGCATACAGTCGAGAAGTACACGTTCTGCTTTACAACTTAATGCCATGCCTACACTAGGAAGTCCACGAGAGCCAGCCATTGGGTTTCCGATTACTTTCATGGTGAATTTTGAAGATTCACTACTATGGTCAGGTGAGGTGAATTTAATAACCACACTAAGGTCATAGAGACAGAACATATATCTATGGTGCAAGACTCCAGAGTTTTTGGGATTGATGCCCGCTGTCCGATTTGGCAGAGTTCGGACGTTGGAAGCACCTAGATGAAATGGAAAGCGGGGTCTTAGGAGACTGGGAATGAGGTTCTGGTCGTTGATAATAATTGCAGAGAGGTTCAGGAAGGTGTAAGAGGCTTAATATTAGTGTCAGGAGGTCAACGCAGAGGAGGGGACAGGTGTGATAGGTTATGTTTGATTGGGTATTGTGTACTACTGGAAGCGACAGGGGGGGTTGAAACTTTCTGGCTGCTCACATCGTGGAAGAATATTTCTTATTAAGGTTCATGAAATGAAAATAGACTTGAGATCTGTTACACAGCCTCTTCAAGATTGTTGGTCTGAGATTTGACTGTTCTAACGCCTGGCGGAGTAAACTGCTGCCACCGGAACTGCGACATCGTGGGACAGGAATGAATGTGGTATTTTTCGAGTCGACCTTTCTTAACGCCCCTTTTTCTGTTGGGAAGGGAGCATCAGCGTGGTACTGGTAGTCATCCAAGGGAAATACGTTGCTGCTGTCACACCCCATCCAGCTAGCAGCAGTACGACTTTGCCCCCAGACCCCCATCATAGTGTAGTAATTTATACCACAACGGTAACCAACTTTTTTCTAACCACTATCCAACAGACCTTTCTGGCATGGTAGAACGTTGAGGAAATAGGCGTTCCAGCTAGTGTGTGGGTCATTGAGATATACAAACCTAACCATTACATCAAGGTGGCAGCTACCGATAGGGGAAAACAAATCTAGTAATCGCTGTGTAAGGTGGAACTGCGGCAGAAAATACGCAGACACTTTACACGAACAGCTTAAAGGTAATTTCACTGATCAAAGTATCGACGAAAGCAGGTTCACAGTTGTAACAAAAGTGCAAGATTTCTGAAGGATGAAAATATGGTGCGATAACAAGCGATTCCCCACTAAATTCTTCTACAAAGCGAGAAATAACACACTGCAACAATTGATTAAAAAGACAATAACAAAGCATTAAAAATATCACACAAAGAATTTCTATGCAGTAAAAAACACAAAAGAAAAACAAATTTCCAAGATTAAGGCTAATTAAAGCTAACATTGTAAGAGTCAAATTAGTGAAAGTTAAAACAAAAATGAAAACAGTAACGATCATAAAAAATCACTGTTACGCATATAGGCAAAAGAAGAAACATTAAAATGGATGATTCAGTAAAACCCAACAGAAGTAGAGTACTGGTTGTATATTGTAATCACTGTGTAATTTTGACTGCAAATAACAGGATGGATAATACACTGGTGAGTACAGCATATATATATGAAATGCATTGATAATACATTAAGAATTAACTGTACAAAAGCATTCTCTGATGAGAGACCTCATCAAAAGATTCACGTGAGGGAAATAATGTTATTCACAGCAAAACTAAATGATGGATGTTACTGTAACATATGAGCTTGCCAGAAGCCAAATTAATACTAATTCGATAGTATGTCTGCAGAGAACGAGTAGGAATACGACCAGCCGGGATGTTTGGTTTTGCCATGTATGGACAGAGAAAGTGGCTCACCTGTTATCAAAAAAGAATGAGTGAAAATTACCGGACACTTTAATGATAATAAAATCAATGAGACTTAAAAGCTGAAATTATTAATGGTAACTTGTTAATTAGTATATAAATGCAGTTTATTTACCTGCGACGTAGCAATTAGTCTTGCTGTTAGATGTTAGAAGTTAGTCGGAAGTTAGCCCTGGACCTAGGTTTCATGCCTGGTGGCGTTCGTCAGCGAGGTGCATCAGTAACCACTAAGGAACTGATATTTAGTTGGTGATTTAAACCTGTATCACTCTATGTTGAAGTCAGACTTAACCACCAAGCTATTTGGGACAACAATAACTATCCCTCACGTGTAGGACTGAAGTATTCACACCAATTTATCACTAGAGGGCAGCCAATGTAGCTGTTTAATCCCTAGGGTTCAGCACTGATCGAAGTCTGTCGATCACATTTTGCAATGTGACCGCTCAGTGAAGTGACACGACACTACGATATACTGCATTGAGGCGTTACATGTTGAATTTCAATAATCTTGATTTAGTTTTCAGTTCATAAGTGAAAAAACAACAGAGATTTTTTTACCAGCCTACATTCATTTATCACTTCCATCCACATTGGAATTTCTGCAAGTGAAAAGATAGACGATATACAGAAGTATTGAGTGTCAAAACATCCGGAATGATAAAGCTTAATCTGACCATTAAAAAGGTAGCCATGGAACATTGTGAACAACTGAATGACAGCTGATCAGAAACGAATTATTGTATAGGAAACTTCTTGAAGTCAACCTTCGATTAGCCTCCTAAAGTCCATCGCAGCCAACACTGATTCAGATTTTGTCTCGTTTAACCTCATAACCTAATGGTCTTTTCTTCAATATACCATTTCGAATCGACGATGTAGAGTTGCGACAGGTGGGTCACACGAAGCTGATCAACCAGTATAGCTTTTTTAATTTTTTTCGTTTAACCAATCTTGCGGAAATGCATTGGTAACATTTTGTGGAAACTGATGGCATGGTAATTACCAAAGGCACGATTAAAATTTGAAGAAAATATATAATAACCGAGAAAAAGTGTCAGTTTCTAAAAAAAAAGTTATGAAAAAGTTATCCTGGAGATATCTACGTTTCGTTACTTCTATTAACAATTATTCACAATCCTTATATGATCAACCAGTTAACTGTTTAGTTTATGTTAAGGTATAATATTCTCGTGTTGGATTAAACGACAACGTGAAACTGAGAAGGGAATTAGAATCTAACGAAATGCCGGATGAGATATTTGAAGATCGAATCTAATGATCATAAGTTGTAGTGTCTGCGAAGTAGTTGGTTTAAGGATTTTCATTTCCGCTCAAACCTATCAAAGGTGTATTTATGGAGGTCTTACGACTTTATAACTTAACACGGTTAAAGCTCCTCACCAAAGATAGACAGACACACAGTCATGTTACTTAGAGATGTCGACAAATTTTACTTTTGTAGGAATTGAGTGACAGAGGGCCCACATAAAATAGAAATGTACGGAAGCAAAGCTGATTGGTTTAACGTACATCCAAACAGGAGAGAAAAAAATTAAAGCCAATGAAATGTTTAAAATCTTGAGGATGATAGTGAACGAAAGCCTTTACGCTACTGTATTCGAATTTGAATTATATCAGCACAGACCAAGAACCATTGCTCCGAACATCTCGGGGTTACCAATTACATAACCAATGTTCTACATGACTCGAATAGTTAGTAACTTCATGGGTTAGCACAGTGTCTCAGCTTCGCCGCCAATAGTCTTTTCTTAGATCAATCTCAATTCAGTTAACACAGTTCGTCAGAGTAAAAAATACAACAGCTTTCGTGAACCTTGTGTACATTCGTACAGTGGGTAATGAGCCCCACCTATAGCGTGATGGCTTATGATACCACCTGGCTGCCCAAAGGTCAGTAGGTGGAGCGGTGTTTGAATCCGTGACCCACTGGATGAAAGTCAACTACCCAAACGAATGGACAATAGCTCTACCATGTACTCTGACGAATTTACGGTGGTTCGACATATTTCAAACACCTGTCACTAAATATTCACAACCATATCGATTAACTTATCACCCTTGCAAGGAACTGAACATTTTACTTCAACTTTGCCAAAAATGTGGTTCACCCTAATAGTGACAGCCAAAAACCCAGAACCAAAGGCTTTCAACTTCAGTAAAAGTACCTTCATCCACTTCGATGAACTGAAATCAGAAAATCGCGTGTCTGCAGGAAAACGAAACCAACAATGGACATAACTAAATCATATTGCTATAAGCCATCTTTGGGGGATTCTCGTCCTTTCTGAATTACGTGTTTGGACTCCGAACACGTGTTAGAACTGGTACGTATATGCTTGAACCTTAGTGGTCGCAAGAAAAAGGCGATAGTCAAGCTCATCTATGATCGATTGGAAGATGAGAACGTCAGGTGTGCATTAAGGAGGAGGTAGTGAAGCATCTACCTAAACATGACAGTAATGCTTATCTTGAGGAAACCTGGCGTCATATCAAGTCTGCTGTAGAAACAACGTTAAAGACAGTTGGTGACCTACATTCGAAGGTTAGCAAACGTCGTTGGATTTCCAAAACATCATCCAAACTGATTGATGCGAGAAGACTGATTCCACCTGACTCTGACCATGATGAGGAGCGAAAGTAACTCAAACGTAAGTTGACCAAAGTCTTCGCGCCGATCGCGAGCAGTGATGGGTGGGTGGGGAGAGCGAGATAGATGGAGGAGGCACCATTTAGACTTATTAAGGATACCAACAAGAAGAAGACGATAGTTAGTGAAGCCATCACCGAAAACGATGGGACGTGATAACCTGCCAAGACAGACGACCAGAACGTTGAGCAGAACAGTTTGAAGGGCAGTTCAACTGGGCCTCAGCAACGCTTCAGTTGTCCAGCACCCAGCTAACTCCAACAAGAATCGGACATCGTTGTCGATCCTCCAACTCTTCTTGAAGTTGAGGGAGCTGTTTCGAACCCAAAACAATGCAAACCAGCAGGTTCTGAGGGTTTGCCAACTGAAGTCCTTAGGGATGGAGGTAGGAAATTGTTAATCAGAGTGACGGAGGTACTGAGTAGTGTATGGAAATCAGAGGTAGTGCCGTCAGACTGGTCTACTTCACTGATCATTCTCCTCCGAAAGAAGGTGGAGAAGTCCTTCTGCAATAACCACAGGGGAGTTAGTCTGACTAGTATCGTGTCTGGGATCCTAGCGTCCATAGTTATTCGACACCGAAATGGAGGTGTGGGAAACCAGACAGGTTTCAGATGTAGATTTGGATGCATCGATCAAATCTTAATCCTCTGTCAGGTTATGGAATACAAGCACACTTACCGGTGATCGATGCTTCTTATATTTTCTAGCCTGAAGGCGGCAGTTGACTGTGTCTACTGTGAGGTGTTGTAGTAATGCCTGACTGTGAAAGGAGTACCAAGTCAGTGAATAACACGCAGTCATGCAAGGGCTTATAGAGAGTTGTCAATTTAGTTGAAGATCACTAGTAGTGTTTGCCATGGGTACCTTCGTTATATACGTACTAACGGACATAACTTTAGACACGTCTTACTTTACAGGTATAAAATTAACTCCGCGAAGATAATCTGGTTGACATTAGATTATTGAGGAGAGGTTTCAGAAATGAACGTAGCGAGTACTCATGGTTCATAGAAAGCAGGTAACAGAAGTCAATCGGGCATGAAAATAAAATGGAGAGAATTGTTAGCAACCCTAATGATGACACCAAAATATCCCAAGTGCGTATATGCGGATAAGCTGGCTTCAGAAGATCAAATGACGTACGGATCAAATCGTAACGCGACACTACGCATCATCATAGAACGGAGTATAGGATGTCAGTCAACTCTCTACCTCTACTTCACCGACTTTGAAGGGGCCTTCGACAACGTCCACCGACAAGCAATTCGCAGGCAGCTGCTTCAACAATACGGCATGCCACAAATCATTATCAATCTCATTCAACAGCTACATGAAAACGCCACATGCCGAGTGATTCACAATCGAAAGCTCAGTGCCACCTCTGAAGGGAAGACAGGAGTAAGACAAGGCTGTCTACTATCTATCACCGATGATCTTCCTGGTTATGATCGACTGAACTGGATCATGCAGCAAACTGTGACGAGCGAGAAGAAGGGCATACGCTGGCTGGACCAATGAAAAGACCCCAGAAGAAGGTTTGCATTTCACCGACGATTTGTGTCTAATATCGCACAAACTCGAAGATCTACAGGCAAAAACCAACAAGTTGATAGAAGAGGTAGAGCAGCGAAGACGAAAATTCCTTCAAGTGAACGTAAAGAAGACAGAGGTGATGAAGATACCCAACCAACAACAACAACAACAGCAACAGCAACAACAAGTACCGATCACCATGAACGGGAGAAACCTAAAGGAAGTTGTCTCTTTCACCTACCCAGGCAAGGCAGCATCGTTTCAACTTCAGGCGGCGGCGGTGGCGGCACAGATGAGGATGTCAAAGTAGCCAGGATCAGAGACAGAGCAAGACAGACTTTCATTATTCTGAAATCAGTGTGCAGATCTACTGCACTCGCATAAAGCGTGAACAAGATCCGGATTTTCAACACCAACGTCAAACCAGTGCTGCCATGTAATGGTTGAGAGACTTGGCGCGTCACGAAAAGCATCTCCAACAAACTGTAGACATTCATCAACAACTGCCGCCTAGGCTAGCTCACTCGATACTGACACTAAATATCAGATGGCCAGAATAATAAGAATAAGCAACAAGGAACTCTGGCTGGCTAGCTGTCACCCAACAAATATGCAGAAGAAAGTGGAGATGGATTGGATTGGGCACACACTGAGAAAACCATTCGGAGACATCACGCACCAGGCCAGGCCAGACTCTCTAGTGGAATCCAAAGGGGAAACGACGAGTTGGGCGTCCGAGACGAGGGTGACATGGAGGAGATGGTGTTAAGAAGTAATGAGAGCTTGTGGGGAGTAGTGGAGCCAGGTTGAAAAGATTGCAGAGAACAGAGTGCAATGGAGACGTTTTACTGAAGCCCTATGTTCCACTAGGAACCCAAGAGACAAATAATAATACATGCAGATCTTTCAGGAAGAAGGTAATTAATCAAACGCAATCCTACTGATTAGTTTAGTTGAGATTGTTCCAATGAATACCCATGAATGATGGGGCAGCACAAGAGAACTCTTCCCATGTATCTGAAAGAAATATGTTGTCTCTTTACTTGCCCAGGTTCAGAAGGGCTGTGGATCGTCTGTTTAGGCAATTGACTTCCAACCAGTACGTCATAGGTGTAAACATCCCTCCTCCTATCAAATTTTGGGCAGAGAGGTAGTATCATTAGCCCTCACACAATAGCTGTGGCTCATTGCTTACTCGAAGAACGTCCACAAGGTTGACGAGTGTATTTCGACTTCCTGAAGCTAGCTTATGATGAGGTCAACCCAAGTTCAATCTGTTTGCTAACCTTATCCAATATCCTTCGTTTGAAACATTCATCTAATGTGATTTATTCTTACTACATCTGTTAATCAATCTACAACCATTATTGTTAGTTTCATCTTTCAGTCTTAAATGATGAAGTTGTTTTCATTACAGTTTTAAGATGATTTAAATCGGATTGACTGAAACTTGCCACAACACCACTTAGGTTTGCTCGAACACGAACACATACATACCAGTATGTGTTGACTACATATTTTTATGTTCGGATAATTCACTCTGTTGCATTTAATGCAGAAGCAACAGTGAACTAACTAGTGTTCGGGGTTTTTAATTCTAATTCCATTCATTAACTTCTTATTTACTTGCAAAACTGTCTTAACTACAAAATTGTCCGAATGCTTAGCTTTATCTACAGAAAAATAGCATTTATAGATTATTAACTATGAAGTTACTGGGAAAATGTTTGCTCAAAATTTACTCTCCTGTATAATTAATAGAAATCTCTAAAATTACTTGCCAATGAGATGAACTGGTAATATGTATATGGTTTAAGCGACCAATAAAAAGGTGAAAATTGTGGAACAGGAAATTGTACTAATAACTGATCCTTGTCTTCAGAAGGATTTTTGAATACACATTCTACTTTATACTATTAACAAACTGAACACACCTTCAAATAACGAGACTTACTTATTAGAACAAAATGGGATTCACTTATGGCAATTAGCCAATGAAACTGTTGTCATTCCCATGTTGATAGTACGATAATATCGTACATTGTAAATCATTAATTCGATACATTGGTTAAATACGGTAATATCCTTCAGTTCACACTTCACATTATCTTTCGAATAGCTTCCATTATGATTTGTAACATAAAAACAGGATAGAATTAATGCACGTTGACTATCATCTAAGCTTTGTATTGTATTCAAGTATGTAGGAAGAAAGTTTTGTACAAAATAATTAAAACCCGTAGAGTTATAACTGACATCAACAGTGTTTACAGGACAAGATAAATGAGTGAAAGATAAGGCGAAATAATATAAACTATCAGTTAAAGTATCTTTACACGAGTCATGTTTATTATTAATTAATAAATTCAATATGGAACTGGTAAACATAGAGAGCCATAATTTATTAAAGTCATATAGATCGAACAATTTATGAGATGCATTCAAATAAGTTAGTTTCTCAACAACAAATCTAACCAAACCGCAGTCCACTTGTTCCGAATTAAAGACAGCAGACACAACATGCATTAGTCGATGAAATAAATCTGGGCAATTTAAAGAATAACGTTGCATAATTGGTGTAATTAAGGTTGGTGTACTGTTGCTGGTAATGGTGTTCATCTTTTTGTCGGCAGAATTACGAACAAAAAAGAAGGAAAAGTTATTTGATAGAATTTTAAATATCAACTCGAATAATTGTTCCATTAACTGACTATTATTTGCACACGCACTACATACTAATCGATGTATATCTTGCTCATTATCAGTAAACACTGCGTTTGGAAGTGTTGACAAAATAGGCAGAAAAACACAAAGACATAATTCTAAAGTATCATGTAGAATAGAGGTGAATATTTTATTATGTGTTATTAGTAGTAAAATATCTATTATTGGACCAATAAAAGTGATTGAAAAAGAATTTGATCCAGTCAATGATGACTTATGAATTGAACGAATAATTTGACTAATTAACTGAGGTATAGATGATAAAGTCCCACTGGAAAATGATAAAATGCGAACAAATGTAGCTAAGAATATCAAATAAGCTGTACAAAATTTGACCTTCATTTCTGAATTTAAATGACTCTGACAAGAAGGATTGTCGCCTAAAATTTTATTCAACAAACAACCAATTAGATTATCCATTAGACCTGAACTTGTTAACATTGTATATACAAGTTGACGAGCTGAATTTCCAGAATTCTCCAATGACAGTACAGCATCATTCAGCAGACTTAAATAGGTGATATGGTGTTTTTGATCAACTTCAAAGTGATTTTGATGTAAATTGTGTAAGAAGAATTCTAAAATTAAACGATTAAGTAAAGAATTTCGTATCGAAATCAGTGCATTTTCTTCATCTTTAACATTACCATAGTTAGAGAATTGAGATATAGTTGCATCTTCTGAAGTAAGGTAACACAAAAATGCAGATATGAGAGGATTCAACACTTTACATTCGATTGGTGTCTGACACTTTTGTCGACATACAGAATCAAAAATACCATTAAATATGGTAAAAGTTCTAGAATTCTTGTCCAACATAGTAGACATTGGTGGACATATATCGCGAAATGATGACGTAAAGAAGCACCTAAACAATTGAGCACAACTGTATACGATTCTTGGAGAAATTAAAGGAGATGAAGAAAAAGATGATGATTCTTTAAGTGGTGAAAGAAAACACTCAAAGATTTCCATAAGTTCTAAATAGAAATGTTCACGGTTAGCAGATGGAAGGTAGATTTTATCAAACGGTAAATTACTGTCACAGTGTACAATAAATCCAATTGAACCAGAAACAATTAAAGCTTGCCAAACAAGCAATGTCTGAACTATAACTTCAACAAAACTCAATCGTATAAGCCGTTCATTGATGCTATGAAGAAAAGGAAAAATCGCACCATTTAAACGTAAGCTGTACAAAAGTGCGTGCACAATTTGTTGGCCGTACTCTTGGTACTTTTCACAATAAAATTTTTCAGACATAAAACCAATCACCTGTACAATTGAAGCGAAATCCCTTAAAATCCAATGAATGCGATGTGCTGGTTGACCTTTAGGAAAACTGAATGCACCTGATAAAAGACCAGTTGCATTCACTAATGACGTATATTCATTCAAAATGTACTGAAATCGTTGAAAAAGAAGAGTAGTAAAATCATGTGGTAATAGATTCACTAAATGATTGAATGTGGATAAACTTTCTCGGATAAATAACACATATTCACACGGTTCATTAGACTGTGTATTGTTCGACTTATTTGTACACATTTCTTCTGGAAAAGCAATGCCGAGTAAATTACTTTCATTCTTAGAGGAAGATATAAATGACATTTCGTTTTCGAAGACATCATACTCCAAAGTATTTAGATAAGTTGATGATTCGCTGTAGAATAAACGAGAAAATAAACCATTTCCGAATTCGATGAGTATTTTATGTACAGCGGAACTAGATGATAATAATTCTGACCTCTGAGAGGCATAAAACTGGAGTGATTCAAAAATACTAGACCAAATGTTAATGCAAGATAGATAAGTTTCAAGATTTGCTGTGAAAAAAGTGAATTCACAAAATGCCTTTAAAAGGGTAATTAGGTAATTCTTTGAAAAATTCCCCGAATTATCGTTAATATATATGAACTTAAGGCAACTTGGCAAAATGCATCGAATTATCTCAACTAGTTTCATCTCATAATCATCACAAGCAGATTGTTTTTGTCTGTCCATTGCAAGTGCACTAGAGATATCACCAATGGGATCATCATTGTTGTCCTGCCTTTTTTTTAGAAGAGAAGTGGATATTTTTTCGAGCAAAACACGACCACTAGCTAGGTCAAGATGACAACTGACGAATCGAAAGACTAAGCTAGATTGGTGATTTATAAAACTGTCTACATTTCGTTTCTCGATTAATTCTTGTAAACAAGTAAAAGCCGTTAAACCGATCAGTCTGAGAAGACCACAATCACGGGATGACAGTGCAAGAGCTTCTTCTGCTTCAGCACAAGCTGACAAACACTGAGGAGATCCTATCAATGAAAAAATGCATATTAAAACCAGGATTTCACGCAAGAAATCAGGTGGACCAGGAAACATCCTCAACATTTCACATAAACATTCCAGACATTCTATTAATGTGTTACATTTATTACCAGAATTTATTAAACAATCACTAGCTAAAGATTCTAAAAGCATAAAAAGTGGATGCCATAAGGAATGTTGATCATTCTGACTAGAATGAGAAATTTCGCCCAATAAATAGGATTGAAAAGAATTTAACAGCTTATCACCGTCGTTACCGCACAAGCGTGACATCAATGAGCACAACGGTCCACATAAGGCACCAGTCTCTTTGCACAGTAATTGTTTAAGTTCAATTTTTCTTGTATAATCTATCACATCTGGAGGATTCAGAAATGAATCGTATGTACACCTTAAGCAATAAAGACCCATTAAAGTCGTTTTGATAGAAAACAAGTTATTAACTGGATCATTGAAGATATGAGTTTTTAAAAAGTCCATGTAATCTGGATACTGGTTAGGCCAATCGAAACAAGCAATTAATGACAATAATTTTGCTGCTTTCTTCAATAAGAAATTAGATTCATTTAAACAACTCTCACTAAGATAAGCTTGTAAAAATGAACGAATTTTTATTTTGTGATCTTTCAAAAGAAATGGCCACTGACGAACAATGGTTGTTTCGATGACACCGAAGCAATACAGAACAACATATTGATGACTTTTAGCTACAGTCAAATAACACATAGCATGATACCAGGAATCGGGTGAGTTTTCAAAATTTATTAATACATTTTGTATTTCCTGTCGTCGAATCAAACTAGTTGAAGGGGAATGAAATTCCGTTAGCAATTTTGTTAAGGCTTCGACTGAAGCTTCATTCGTAGCCATAAATGAAATTATGAACTGTCTGAAGACTGAATGCAGCTGAAAAATTCCAAGATAAGAAAAAATAATAAGAAATATGAAACTTGGCCTATATAATGTATGTATTGTCGTTAACCAGTGTGTCACTGAAATATCCATACACCTTTATACTTTGGTAGAGATATACAATTAAAAGAACATTTTTTGTATGAGGACGATTGATTTGAGATTTGCATAGGGTTATAGCAACCAAATGCGTATGTTAAACCCTAATGACGAATGTTTGAGGTGGAAGTTTTCGCTAACCAAACCTGTGCCAATCGGTTCCACGTATATTCCTCAAAAAATATTGAAAACAACATAATCGTCAGCGTTTATTTATATTCTAAGAGTGCAGCTTTCACTTAAGATTCGTCGAATTATACGAATCTGCGGCCTGCTTGGACTCTGGGCTACCTTATTATTATTATTCTTTCAATAATCGATTGTCCCATAGGTAACGATTACAGCGGACTGAAAAAATGGAGCATTCAAACCTGCAGCACATGCAGGACAAAATGAGAAAACCTGCGGTCACACGGCGGGTTTCGCAACATCACCCTTCTGTAGGGTCTATGTTTTCCGTTAACTTCAGTAATATGACCTGACGCCTAGCTCCGCAAAAGTTTCAACTAAGTTCATCCTCTTCGATACACCTAGATACCGTAAAAATAGTAATCATGATTTGCGTAGAAGAATTACGATCATTTTAATTTTATTATTTAAAACACAAACCTCGTATTACATGAGCACCAAGAGATACAAAATGATATAGCAACATTGAGACGAAAAAAAGGAAAAGTATGGGGAAGAGAAATGGGTTATTAGAGAAACAGTTTCAACCATAACTTCCAAAGAAACACCCACTACTTTCATCCTACTTTCCAGTAATAGAAGGAAAAGAAACCGCCCTAAGATTACCGCCGTTTCCGGTCCTGAGCCATATATGTTAAAGTCTCAAGCCACTGAGTTATCTAATTTCTCGCAACATGTTTGTGGAGTTGTAAAGCGCTTAACCCGATGCGGCTGCCTTTTATTTCACAGTGGCGCGTCATATACTCATCATTTCACTTCTCCCAACTAGTTGTAAGACAAGTGACTACAACACTGAGTGACGCGAGTTCAAATCTCAGGCATCAGTTGCGTCGAGGCTGCAGATACGCTTCGCTAACGAGTGAAAACAAGTACGAAACCAAGGATCAGGGCTTCCTGCCAATTGTCTCCACCCAACTAACATTTATCAAAGTGCATCGCGATATTCAGCTGCAAAGTCTGACGGCCACATTGCAAAATGATCGGTAAAATTTAATCAGCACTTAGGACTTGGCAACATGAAGTTGATTTCAAGTTGGACTGACATCGGTTAGGGAAACATTGGAAACCTGGGAGCACTAGACAGCCGTTTCGTCCTAGTGTGAGACTCCTCAGTAATGTGCACCCGTTACCCTACACCCCGAGGGGTCGAGCCCAGGACCTTCAAGTTCCGTGGCCAGCAGGTCACCATTGAGCCACTGGGTCGGAATCCAATGGTCCATATTTCCAACTTCTGTTAGCTCACGATATAGCGAAACCGCCACCCAATGTCATCGTTGAGTAACTGTCCTCACGACCATCAAGTTTGCCCCACAGGTAATTGAAACTTCAGGAATCACCTCCCGAAGCTGGTTGCCAGTAGGCACTAGATGAAGTTAATTTGGGGATTTGTGAGGATTGATTGATTTCAAGTTGGTGGGGAAACCTGGTGGCAGTGAGGACAAATACTCAACGATGACATTGGACGATGGTCACCCTATGTCGTGAACTGACAGAAGTTGGAAATATGGACCACCTGCATTCCCATCCAGTGGCTCAAAGGCAACGTGCTGGCCACGGAACTTGAAGGTCCTGGGCTCGATCCCTGGCGGGGCCATGGGTGCGCACTTCCAGGGAGTCCCATACTAGGACGAAACAGCCGTCCAGTTTTCCCAGGTTTTCAATGTTCCCCCAACCGATATCGGTCCATGATGAATACCAAAATGAAATCAATAAATCCCCACGACCCCCCCCCCAAAATCAAACATGAAGTTGTTTACCCTTCAGTGACTAATCAATATGCAAGTGAACACTTAGTGGTATGGGAGCTGCCGAGATTTATAAATACCAACAAACCATCGACAGGTAAAGGAGAAAGCTGCAGCGAATACTCACAACATGAGACTTTACAATATTGAAGACTGTTGTCAAAAAATCACAGATAACACAAGGAAAAGACAAAAAAATCCTTCGAGAAAAGTAAGCTAAAATCTCAAAACCACGAGCATAACAAGAGGAAAAAGCAAATGAATGTATAATCAGCCCGTCCAAACGCCTGATCAAAAGTGAAGAACTCCTTGCGTTATATAGACGATACGTTTGTCGTCCATGAGAAAAAAAATTGAAAAACGCTAACAAATTAATTTACAACATTTGAGACTATCGAATTAGTAACTGAATAGGAATCAAACAACAAGCTTGCATTTTTAGATTTCCTGGTCACTAGAACGGATTTAAGAAAATTGGAGACAATTACACAAAACCAACTCGTACAGATCAAATCGTTAACCACGGTAGCATCAATTCAACACGAAATCAGTTGTGTAAAATATTATTCAAAAGGGCAAAGATACACTTCAGCACGTCAACTTTACGCAGAAAATAGAACTGCTTAATGTCTACCTTTCAAAAGAATAGATAGCTACACAATTTCATCGAAAGAGGTTTGTCGAATTCACTGACAACCAAAAAGTCATCCCTGAATACCAACAGAAAAATCGTCTTACTTTACATGAAGAACGTCTAGAAGATTGCAACTAGATTACCGAAGCCATTCGGAACCTCTGTAGCTCACAAGCCTACAAAATTTCATTACTCATATTGTTCAGGCCAAAAGACAAGAGCAAAGGGAGAAAAAAACCAAAGGTATCCACAAAATAAACTGCGGTGGCCACTCCTTGTGTCTGTCTACGTGAACATCGACCAGCAGCGAACTGCAACGATATATCTTCGCTAATATCAATACATATAGATAGTTGTGAACATGAATTCGACTAAGTAAGTGTAGAAACCGTAGATACAGGAAATACGAATACCAGAGAACTTTTAGCGGCTTGAGACTGAGATCAATCGGCAACCAATGAGCGTATTAAAACTGACACAATCTACCAACAAATGGGAAACTCGAGAAGCAGCAAGAAGGCCATATATCAGACTAAACAATCAACCACACTCGAGGCCACAAACAAAATCAATATAGAACCTTGCAGAGATATGCGTTGATTAGAGTTGTCACCAGGACAGGCTGTAAGGCACTTGTAGAGAAATCACAGCTTAATTTTTTCTGAAGCTTAAGCTGATTACTTTGTCTAGAATGACAATGGAAGCTTCATGATTAATTCATCTAGCTAAGAGAACACAACATCACCAAGGTCGTTGGTCTGAGATATATGTGAAAGCGTTCGACAGTCTGATGGAGGATGAATATGTTATAAATACACTCACAACTTGAACGAAACTTCTCGCAAATCACTTTATCTGATTTATGGGGGGTCTATAAAGAACGGTTTAGGCACCACTAACTTTCAATCTGTAGCTATTCTGTAAAGGCCCACATTACCACACCCCATAGCACATCAACGTAATAGGCACATGGACGACAGACAGAAACAAGGAAAAAACAACGAAAATTGGTATAAAGTTGGGGAAAATAGAACACGAAGTGAATCAACAACGAAATTCGATGTGACGATTAAGACCGTTAGCATAGGATAAAGGATTACTACATGACGGTCCAATTTGAGACACATATCAAACTACAGAAAGCAATGGCTGCTAACTTGACGCAGTGGTCGGGCTTTTATATCATGATCAAACGAGATGTGCTGGTGGAACGCTTCTTCCTTCCAGTTCCTAACATATTGCAACGTCTGTTGGATACAGGGTACAGAAAAAAAATTAACGGATGTAACCAATACCTCCGAAAAGCAATGGAGAGATGTTGCTTCACCAAACAAATATATTTTCACTCACATTCATTGGGAAATAAAATCCCGAAAATATAAATATCATTTACCCAATCAACTAAGTTTATAGTATCTCGGACTGAAAACGTTTATCAGTAAAAGGGCGCACTATTTATAGTAACTATGATGACATTGGAAGACAAGGGATAAGTAGTACATTAGAAGAGGTATGAGCCAGTCAGAACACTGGCGGGGTTATATGAAATGTAACCCACATGCAGTAAAACGAGTTCGAATGAATATAGTTTAAAAGTACAATAGGTAAGTATGGAATATTAGGGATGTAGGCATCCATAATAACTTTTCTTGGCATCAAGGGGGCCATTTGTGACTGGCTTCTAGTAGATGTCCCTAGTCTCTGCGGTCATGCACTAACCTTTGTTTCTCATGTACCTCAAGAAGACTTAGTCTTTGACGGTGTGGGCAGTCGGGAAGTGTCGACCGCCCTAACAACCCTGTCAGTTTTCAGGTTCTCTCAGACCACTGTCCAACTTCCTTATCCTTACCTTCTAGTCTTCCATCACGTGTCTCAGTTAACAATCCTACATCATCTTTAATTTCTTCTAGTTCTACAGCTTTCGACAGCAATGAGTCCACAGAACAGCATTCTTGGTCCTCCTTAAACCACACTCCAAATTACACATCGGAGTCTTCAACGTCCGCACCCTCCGTCAAATTGGCGAAAACTCTAGCAACTCGGGCCATGGATTTGTGCTGTTTGTGAGACACGCGTACGGGACCCAAGTGCAATTATTCACTTAACCTCTCTCGGCTAATATGGCGACTCCACAAAATTTACCTTTCGGGTTTCCGGAGATTTTATGGCTGGTTCTCGCGGTCTTGCAGGTGTAGGCATAGCATTAAGCGCTAGGCCAGAAATCTCACTACTAGACTGGATTCTAGTTGTCAGGCGGCTATGTGCTATCGTAGTGAAGGGCGCAGTGAGAACTGAAAGAGTTGTGGAAATATGCGGTCTTCTCTTTGTAACCTACCTTTACGCACACACTGACTGCAGTTGGGATCTAGTGAAGGATGAGTTTTACTGAAAAGTGTCTAACCTTATTCTGAAAGAAAAATGTTTAGACGTGGTTGTTGTTGCAGGTTAATCCAATGCACTGGTAGGGAGGCTGAATGAGGCAGAAAAGGACTTTGTTGGCACTCGTAGTCCCGATTGAACGAGCAGATAACAGTGATTGCCTATTGTAAGTGTGCTCAGATAACTTTGTTTCTAGCTAGTATAAACTCCAGACATAGATAAAGACACTGTCTGACGTGACGTCCACCCAGCTCAACTCAGCGACGGACAGAGATAGACCACACTGCTATAAGTCATCGGTAAAAGACTGTCACATATTTGGCAGCTCGTGTTTGAACAAAGAGCATGCGTTGGTTCGGGCGCGTATATGTCTGCGTCTTAATGGACGGAGAAAAACTTTAGCAAAAAGACCATTATGAGTACAGCTCGATAATAAGAGCACTAAGGCCCCTTTCATTGAGAAACTGGGTAGGTAGTTATCGGAATAGAACACTGTCACTCATCCAGAAGAGGCTTGGTGCCATCTCCAGCCTGCTGTAAAAAGAGCGTTGAAGACCGTAGATGACTCAAAAAGTGGTTCAAAATAGCCGGTGGATATTAGCAACTTCTGAACTAACAGATGTACGCGAACGCATCCCTGCTGGGTCTAAGCAACATGAAGAGAGAGCGTAATACAAATTTAGAGTGACAAAAAGCCTAGCAATGATCGCGAACAGTGGTGGGCAGTGTAGGCTAAAGAGGCTGAAAAGGCAGCGGCGATAGGTAACAGTAGACGATTATTTAAACTTGTTAAAGAAACTGGGGTGTGTTGACCAAATATTCACTCTCCCAGGTTCTGCAATACAGGTAGGCTCACCGGCGCCTGACAATAGCTGTTTCTCTATCTGAAGGCGACATTCGATCGAGAAGCCCTATAGCGATATCTCTCACTGAAAGAGATACCTGGTGAGCACATAATCTTATTGAAAGCTCTTTGTTCAAACACCTATGGGGGCATCAAAGCCTATGATAAGACGTCAGGTGTTGTGCATGTTGACTGATGTCCGTCAGGGATGCCCATTCTCTCCACTCCTAATCAATTTTATCATAGGTGTTCTTATGGAGGTCTCCCACTCGACATCTAACTACACAGGGTTTGACATCATAGGAGAATTTTTGGCAGACCTAGAATATGCAGTTGACAGTCCTGTTAAGTGAAAACAGGTTCTAGAACAAAGACAAACTTACTAGCAAGTGGCCAACACTCCTCATATCTCTTGACTTCTAGGCGGCATTTGACTCAGTCGACCGTCAGGGTGTTGCGGCAGTCTCCGAATGTGAAAAAGTAGCGCGCAGGCTAATGAGGCCAATAAAAGCTCCTTAATTGAAACCACGCAGGCGTCTTAGAGTTTATGAGGAGATGAAATCTGAATTGAAGACAACTAGTGGTTTCCGTCAGAGAAGCCCGCTGTCATCGTTCCTACATAACTTCGTTATAAACGTACTGATGGACATAACCTTAGGTACGTCTGACTTTACAGAGTTCACCAACTCTCTGGAGGTCATCTAATTGACTTGGAATATGCAGACGTTATTGTCCTTCTAGGTGAAGACGCTGACAAAACGCAGGACCTTCCGAATACGTTGAGCAGAAATCAGAGTATGTCTTGCATGCGTTTTGCACCTGTCAAATGTAAGATGATCCTATGGGACTGGTCTACAACTACTCCCAGCTTAATGGTAGGGAGTGAAGTGGTGGAATGTCCCGACCACTTCACTTACTTGGGGAGTTGCATTAGCCTGAACGCGCTGATTGCTGACAGAATCTCAGCTCGGATACAAAACACCCGTTCGGCATTTGTCAACTTGCGTCACCTGTGGCGACGACCAACGAGATATCCGACTATCTACCAAACAATGAGTATACTGCGCTGTAGTTCGTTCTGTCCCGTTGTATGGCTGTGAAACATAGCCCTTAAAAGTAAGACATACAACGCAATTACCAAGTTTTGGTTACAGATGTCTTCGAGGTATTGCTCGCGTTTGGTGGAATCACCGTGTGAGCAGTGTTGAGGTCAGGCAAAGGGTAACATGCAAGACAAGCAAGTCGACTGATGAGGTTGTGAACCTTCATCAACTGAGGTAGCTTGGACATGTGCCTTGCAGGTCGAATCAATGACTACCTTCAAATGCTGTTAGAAGTTGGATTTGATTGAGGGTTGAGGGTGGTCAGACCAAGACATGGCACTAGTCTATGAAGTCCCTGACTGTTAGTTTGGGCCATGTGGGATGTAGATTACTTGTCTGGATGCGGTCTCCGAGACGATAGGAATCAGTGGTTGAGGACTCGGCGAAATGGCTGAAAATCTGTCACAGTGGTGCAAATGTATTCATTCTTTGATATCTTCTGAAGATTCAATATAAGCACTAACCACTATCTTTAAATCGTTTATTCTCTCATATAACTTAGTCTACTTTGATATCGGTCATTCTCTAACTACCTGTTCTTCGTATACTACTGGGAAGTGTGGCAACTTGAACCGATGCACTTGTGTGCGAAGTTTTACGTTGATTCTGTTTGTCTGAGTCGATGAAGGTTCAGGTCACTAAATGGCTTCTGTATTTTACTTAGAATACAACATTCGACTTCCGTATTACTGACTTGATAACATTACCACAACACAGCCTACGCTATGACGGGAAAAGTTGTCGAACACTTCAAGCCTCGTCATGTTTCCGATCTTTAATGGTCATGTCTCGCAGCCATACAGTGGAAAAAAGCGAAGTGCAGAGTAGTACACTCGACTCTTAGTTGACAATTAGATATCAAGGAAGCACGAAATTTCGTAAGTTGGTAATAGCCAAAACAGGCTGCTAGCAGTAAATATTTTAGAAGCTACCAGTGGCAAACTAGTACTTCGATAATTATCACATGCCTTAAAGATGGGCATAACGCTAGCTTCATTTCGAAAATGGGACAATCAGAATACTATAACCCCTCAAAAAAATATAAAGTGGCCATTGACTAATGTTATCTCCATCCTTAAAAGGAGCTGGAGTTAACGTCTAGATCGGGTACCTTATAACACTTTAGCACTCAGAGTTGCTTAAAGAAAAATATTCGCTTCGTTAGGCAGGTCAGTGTTAATTAATTATCCAATACAAGACAATGGAGTCCATATTTGAGCAGTACGTCTGCCAAATTGCATCTTGAAGCATTCTGTCATGAGTTTCAAGCGTCTATCACAGTTTCTGATCGGTGTTATATTCACTGCAAACACCATCTCAACAATGCAAATATGACAACTTTCATGCAGTTGTTGACGGAACAAAATATCTCACTCAACAAGTTTCCACATCTAGAACGAGAGGACTGCTAGTTCTTCCGTTTCAGAACGTAAGTATGAAAACAAAGAATAAATAAAGCGAAGCAGGCTACTGATAACTTAGTATGTAAGCTCAGGCTGTGACAACAAATAGACACCGAGTTTGCGCATGGACTTTGATAATGTGATCTTAGAACCTCTACAAGAGGAGTATCTTGAGCCTTAAAAAAAATCCTAGGGGATAGAAGTCACACCTGATATCAGTTCTGCTATGTTCAAGTTCTAACTTTCCTCTAAGATTCGTATTAGAGAAAATGATGAGGCGAGTGACTTGTGGTATTCAAAATGCCACACACTATTGTTATGTCACATTTTAGTCGTTCATATTCAAAGGGATATGGACCCATTGTTGTCAAGCGTCTCGTTCGACTTAAACTTTGGTCTACAAACTGACAGCACAGCACCTCTGTGTTCATTCAAAATTGTCGATACACTTTTGAAATGAAGAAAGTACTATAGTCCCAAACTACAGGTGAAGTTGTGAAGAATTTGGTGGAAACACCTGTGATCACTGGGCAAAAACTCCTCGCACGGTTACACGTGCCACCCGTAATATCATGTCGATAAGATTACAGGCTAGTAAAATAAGTGAATTTCTTTCAGTTTATAATGGATTTTAACGTTATTTGGGTAAACCACAAACATAAAACAGGTTGATCCGGACCAACGATCAGCTTACCAAACACCAGAAGTAGCGTTAACAGGGAAACACCCGCATTTATAAGATAAGCGTTTCAACAGTATTTGACGTCGTTCCAAATCGTTGCGGATTGAATAGTAAAGGCTTTCACGCAACTAGCTTCCTAGTGTAAGAGATGAAAATTTCTAGTTCCCTTAGTTTTGAGTCATATTTCATTTCAAGAAGCTGTTAGACTCTTGTTAGCCATGACGCTCCCAGACTGTTACAAAAGACATCATTACCATGAGTCTAGAGTTCGAAGGGGCGTAGTTATTGTCATCTACAAAGGTGGTGTGCAGAAGCTAGAGGCTAGTACGGTGTCGAACCATAAAGTCTCTGGAGAGCAGAAGGTTCCATTTTACGGAACTAGCGTTGAAACGAATATTGCATTGGTCTTGAGACGTGAACGGAAAGCTAAGGTGGCGGGGAATGCATCTGTCTAAAACCCAGTTAGTGTGTTATGAGAGGGGTTTGGCGATCAAATAAGCGAGAGGAGAAGCAGCTTCCCAATGTGCATGGAATGCTGTAGTGAACCGAAACGTCTTTCCCAAATACAGACCGACCAATGACCGAAAAGATATGAGAGGCCTTGGAAATATAGCCTCAAGATAAGTATCTCACATTAGGCGGAGAAAGTGGGTGTAAACAGGAGTTAAAAGACTCGCATAGTGTGAAGTGGAATGCTCATGCCCTGGAATGGGTAGGGTTAGCATTTCGGCAGTTGCTTTCGAAGACTACGGTCGATGTTCATGTCAAAACCTCATTCGACTTAGGAAGTGGATAGTGAGAAAAGTGGGAGATTCCTTGCGATTATTGAAGGTAGTTTTATGGAACAGCACAGAAACGGAAGTTATCCTAAGAAGGCAAATAAAGTGTGGGAATACTGGAATCCGACACGACCGGTCTCTAGTGGATAGGACTGAGGTAAGAAGGGGATGTGGCTATGCTGAAAACCAGGCTTGGTAATAGATATGAAAGGTCCTGACACAATTATCTGTAAAGCAGCTCTTTAACAATACACTAACTCTTGGCACACCAGAAGCAGATCCTCCTGCAACAACTTAACTCACGAAAATGTGGCGAGGGCATATGAAGAATTACCTCAGCCACATAAACTTCAGGCTCAGACTAGCAACCTCTTGCCATCGAGCATCCTGATGCATAACAAACCCATTGATGAAATCAGTACCAAAATATGAGGCAAGGTAAGCCATTTGGTAAACTGTACCGCCACTGAAGTGAGTAAGGAGCTTGCACTTAAAATCACTGCAATAGTTTGCAATGTCTCCGACGTGACAAAGTCGAAGAAGGCATGTGAAATTTCGGTTAAAAAACCAGAAACGCATTATGTCCATGCAAAACGTTTTAGACTGGAAAAGAGCCAGCAGGACAGTTGCTGTCCTATATGCTTTCTTTTTTAGAACACACACAAAAATAAAAATGTTCATCCAAGCAGAATCTTTCACACCGAACAACACTACCTTCACAGCAGTAAAGGTAATTCTTGATAAGACAGTGGTGGTAAGACAGGCAAATAACTTCGCGCTCAGACCAGACTGTCGGAAAGCTTCGATTATTGTGCCGCATGCTGATGCAGTGGATATCTCTTCCAACATACTTGACCCCAAGATTTCGCCCTACCCGAGCGCTGTCAACTCAAGTATACAGAAAACCACATCAATTAAGAAGGAAACAGACAGCTGTGAAATGTACGATTTAACCCAAGCACCCAGCGCTGTAACCTCGCCTGGCTAACTAGTTCACCAGTTACTAGCCCGTCCCAAGCCCGGGTAAAGAGGGGGTTGGGCACAGGTTTAGCAAACCTAACCCGTAAAACCAATCCAACCGCTAGGGAAACTTCAAAGCACAGACAAAATATGAAGATAAAAAGGAACTTATTCCTCTCTGGAATCGGGGAGACGAAATGAAACCGGTTGGTGAAAGCCTTCGGGAAGCCTATTGGCCGATGTACCTTCTCCCCCTCGATGAAACCAAATTAAAAGCGGTATCTAATGTATAGCTTAATACTGTACACAATAGTCATTTCTCATTACCAAAATGATCAAACCTGTAAACTGGTTTGTATTCATGTAACCTACGTTGTATGAAACATATACTATTATTATTGTCACATGAGGACATGGAATGTCCACACCGTTTCAACCTACTAAGGCTGCAAAACAGATTGGAAGACATGGCCTAGAAGTGCGAAAGCAGGTGGAATGGAAGTAGACCCTCCAAACTATCAACTGGAGAGGAGTCAATAATCTACCCCTATATTGTCATCCAGATGACAACCACGAGCACACTGAGGAAGTGACTATCATGATGTCACCAAGAGCATCGAAGGCCTCATGCAATGGGAGTCAATCTCCTCCAGGATCATGACAGCAAGGTTCAACTCAAAAGGAAGGAAAGTCACAATCACACAATGCTACTCACCTACAAATAATGCCGATGAAGAGAAGAAGGAGGAATTCTACAGACAACTTCAATCAACACTGGACAAGACCCCAACCCAGTCGGTAACATCAAAATTCTAATGGGTGGGGTGACATGAATGCCAAACTAGGAGTGGACAACACAGGAAGAGCACTAACCATGGGTCGAGAAGCGCTTGGTGAGTTGATGAACGAGAATGGAGAATTGTTTGCAGAATTCTGTGCATTCAACAATTTGGTGATTGGAGGCATTGTATACAAACACAAGGATATCCACAAAGCGACATGGATTTCACCAGACACCAGGTGGACACACTACACCAAAAGGCAGATCGACTTCATCTCAATGTGGAGACAGTGGAGGCGCAGCCCACTTGACACAAAGTCAAGAAGAGGAGCAGATGTAGGTTCACACCACTCACTGTCTAGTGCAAGAAACCTTCCAAATAAAATTGATTACCCAAAAGCAAGTTGGTGATAGACCACAGTTCAAGTTCAACACCTAGAACAGAAAGTAAAGAACGAAACTACAAAGGACATCTACACGTCAATCATCAGGAAAAAGGGAGATATCGAGCAACATCCCAGAAGAAACCTATGTGGATGGACACTAAAACTCTTTGAAAGCTATGTGGAAAGAAGCCTGCATAGCCGTATTAGGAAGGAAGAAGCAGGACGAGACAAAGAATGGATCACGACGGACACATGGAAGGTGATAGAGCAGGGAGAGGAGGATGGTCGTGGTGAAGCAGAAGATGAACCAGTGCAGTGCAGGGATGAACAACGGAAGGGGGAACTGAGCACAATCCATAAATACTGCACTGGACAAAGAAGTGAAGAAGAGTGCGCACCAAGACAAAAGACACTCCTACAACACACTAGCAAGTGAAGCAGAATAGGCTGCTGGTAAGAGAGACAAATAACCAGGCTACTATCTGCGAGAGAAGAAATCAACACAGATGAAACCAGTGAGAGATAGTGAAGAAAACGTAGTTACCACCAAAGAGGAGAAACAAAGGATTGACCATTTCAAAAGATACTTGAACCGATCACCACCTGCAACTCGCCCAGAAACACCACCAGCGACCCAGCCACAGAACTACCAGCGAGCACAAACCCTCCGACAAAAGCTGAAGTGAAGTCCTGAAAGCCACAAAGTTGCTGAAATCTGGCAAAGCAGCAGGACCAGATGGAATTCCACCAGAAGCACTGAAAACAGACTCGGAGACAGCGGTAGACATGCTCGCACCACTACTGCAGACGGTTTGGAAGGAGGGAAGGAAGGACAGGTACCTGCCCATTGATTGGAAGAATGGATACCTTGTCAAACTCCCAAAGAAGAGCGACCTAAGTCTTTGCTAGAACTCGAGTGGAATCATGCTCCTATCTAACCAAAGCAAAATATTATACCGCATCATTCCGGAGAGACTAAACAATGCGCTGGATTCTAAATTACGACCTGAACAGGCTGGCTGACTGACTTCAGGAAGTAAAAATCATGTGTGGATCAAATCGCAACGCGACACTACGCATCATCATAGAACGGAGTATAGGATGTCAGTCAACTCTCTACCTCTACTTCACCGACTTTGAAGGGGCCTTCGACAACGTCCACCGACAAGCAATTCGGCAGGCAGCTGCTTCAACAATACGGCATGCCACAAATCATTATCAATCTCATTCAACAGCTATATGAAAACGCCACATGCCGAGTGATTAACAATCGAAAGCTCAGTGCCACCTTTGAGGGGAAGACAGGAGTAAGATAAGGCTGTCTACTATCTATCACCGATAATCTTCCTGGTTATGATCGACTGAACTGGATCATGCAGCAAACTGTGACGAGCGAGAAGAAGGGCATACGCTGGCTGGACCAATGAAAAGACCCCAGAAGAAGGTTTGCATTTCACCGACGATTTGTGTCTAATATCGCACAAACTCGAAGATCTACAGGCAAAAACCAACAAGTTGACAGAAGAGGTAGAGCAGCGAGGACGAAAATTCCTTCAGGTGAACGTAGAGAAGACAGAGGTGATGAAGATACCCAACCAACAACAACAACAACAACAGCAACAACAAGTACCGATCACCATGAACGGGAGAAACCTAAAGGAAGTTGTCTCTTTCACCTACCGAGACAAGGCAGCATCGTTTCAACTACAGGCGGCGGCGGCGGCGGTGGCGGCACGGGTGAGGATGTCAAAGCAGCCAGGATCGGAAAAGCAAAATGGGCCTTCATTAACCTGAAATCAGTGTGGATATCTTCTGCACTCAGCATGTGGAACAAGATGCGGATTTTCAACACTAATATTAGTCAAGTCAGTGCTTCTATATGGTTCAGAAGCTTGGTGTGTCACGAAAGGCATTTCCAAGAAACTGCAGATATTGATCAACAACTGCTTAAGCTCGTTTCTGCAGCTCAGGTGGCCAGAATAATGACGATAGGCAACAGGGGACTCTGGCAACGAACCAATCAAAAATCCATCGCCCGACAAATGTACGGAGCAAAGCGAGGGTGGATTAGGTTGAGCCTGCACTGAGAAGACAATTCGGGGACATCAAGCACCAGGCAATCAAGTGGAAAGATTCTTTT